TATATTAAATAAAATAGTCTCTATTCTTATCGATGATGCTTTTCCATCTTACAATAAGATTGTTAATGCCCTGATTACAGAAATCACTTGGCTTTGAAGCAAAATACATGTCGATGTCCTCTTTAACACCTTCCATATTTGCATACATTTTCCCATTAAGATGATATTGCAGCACACAAAAAAGATGTTAATCTGATGATACCATATCTGGAGAATATGGTGGGTGAGAGAGAACTTCCCAACTGAACTCCATAATCTTGTGTTGCATCAAATGTGCCACATGTGGACATGCATTGTCGTGGAGAAGAACAACACCTTTCTGATAGACAAGTGATGGGCATTTCTGATTAAGGGCTTATTTTAAATGTTCCAGTTACTGACTATAGATCTCTGCATTGACAGTTCACTGTGGATTGAGGAGTTCAAAAATGAATTACTCCTTTGATGTCCCATCAAATGCACAGTATCACTTTCTCCAGATGGAGTCCAGGTTTTTGGGTTGGAAGTGGTTTTTGTCTAGGACTGAGCCATTCTTTTTGGCATTTAATATTCGCATAGAGAATCCATTTTTCATCACCGGTGATAATTCTGTCCAAAAATGGTTCACGAGCATTACGCATCAGAAGAGACAAAGCAACATTCACACGTTGGAAACAATGATCATCGGAAAGTTCGTGAGGCATCCAAACACCTTCTTTACAGCGTTTTCCCATATTACTTAGATCTTTATGTATTGTTTTGTGAAAGACATGCAATTTCAGGGCCATTTCACAAGTGTGTTGCCTTGGGTTAGACTCAACAAGCATCTTCAGAGCATCAATATCAATTCCAACATGTCAGCCCCTGTCATCACAGTGTTTAAGGCTAAAGTCACCTGAACAAAATTTGATGAACCATTGTTGACATTTACAAACGTTCAAAACATTTCCATAAACTTCTTTGATATTCTTTGTGGCCACAGAGGCATTGTTTCCCTTCTTGCATTCAAACATCATTACATGACCCACAGATTGTGAGTTGAGCACCCTAACCACCTAGCCATCCAAGTGTACAGAACAATGACCTTTATCATTAGATTTTCATCAGAAATCAAAGCCAAATTTTTCCAAGAAAATTAAAAAAAAACAAGATGTCATAATATACTGAAAATCTGTATATTGTTGCACAAAGTAGTATTCTTTGTAAGGTTATGAACCAACTACATACAATAGTTTTAAACCACAAAACAGTATTTACTTAAAATTATTAAATATACTTGTAATAAGAAGAAAAAAAACCAATAACAGTATTAGAAGCTTTTAGTATGCAAATAAAAGTAAGTAATAGTGGTTAAAAATATTTTACATTTTGTTCAAGACAATAACAGGGTTTGAACTTAAGAGTAGGTGGCAAACTACAATTTTTTTACTGGCATTGTTTAGTTAGTAGTAAATATTTCTTACTAAGGAATCCAGTTAAATTTTCAAAAATACCCAAATTCTTTATGTTAAAAAAAAATTGGCCACTTATTTACAAGTTCAGTTTCCAATAAATTCAAAAGTGGAAAGACAAAAAGATGTGTTTAGACCTAGTCTCCACTATATCAAGACAAGCTTACATTGCAACCCATAAGAAAGGTAATGTTGACAGAAGGATGTTAACACCATCATATAATATGGTGCTCTTCTTCTTTTATAGTTATGCAAAAGCAGAGAAAGCTTAAACTTTTTGGTGGAACATTAGCAAACTGGCCAATTATAATAGACCTTTTCTATATCTCCAACATGGCTGCAGCTTCAGAGATGAAAACTACGATTTGCAAAACAGATTTTTTCTTTATTCGGTTTGTGGATGATCACCCAATTTCTTATTACAAATCAGCTCTTTCCAAATAGTTTGCATTTTATCATTTTTTATAAAGTTCATTTTGGGAATTTTTATTTTTAATACTGCATGTCTGAATATATCTCTGACACAAAAGATCTTTTTAATTATTTTTTTTTTTTATGTTGTTGTCTCTGTATATGATAAATTTCCATAAGTGTAAAACAAATTTCAGTAAATGACTAAACATTATCAATGTCGGCCATTTCTTGTTTACTTTATTCCTTCAACTCCTCCGCAAGTCAGAATAAGGTAAACTGTACACTGTTGATGCAAATGCTACTAAAGCATCATTGCATTTTTGTTGTTGTTGTTTACATCTTTACAGTGCGAGTTAATTTTTATGGCTCGTTCACAATACAAAAGTAATGATAATGTCATGATCATGGCACACATTTACACTTGTGTAAAATTAATGAAACTTTAAGTTGCATTTGTATGCTAGGAGAAGCACAAAACACATTAAACTAGAACATCATTACCCTATGACTAATTAAAATAGGCTAGTGTTATGTTTGTGTTTAAAATGTTTGTTCTTTCAAGCTTCTCGTGATAAGCCATTGCCAACCAATGAAAACTAACAAGTGAATTTTGATATAGTATTAAAGGTATGTTCTTCTAATCAAGTAATAGTCTCTTTCAATTTATAGATTAGTTGAATGCTTAGTACAATTTGAAATTTTATCTAGCAACTTTAATACTGGTATTAATAGACATACAAGTTGTACTAAACTATGAACACAGATATCTAATATTTACTTAGGAAGTTGAGGTAACTTACTGAGGAACACATGTTAAAGCAATAAAATATTATAATAGAAATATCAACCATTGGTGCATTTGTAGGAGGAAGACAGATATAAGACAGTTGCAAGCTGAAATGTGATGAATCTAAAAAGAAACAAATTAAGGCATTTTATTGGTTTGATTAGTATTTTAGTAAAAATACACTGCATTTTGTGATATGAATCTCTTTCTTTGCTGCCGTATATCTGGGAAGTTTGCTATCTGGGTAAATGATTGTCCTACTCACTTTTAACCCAGTTGGCTAATTCTTGCTTTTTAAAAAAAAATAATAATAATAATAATTCTAGCCTTGAGTATTACTAAAACTAGATGTGTTAAGGAATACTTAAGGTACACACAGATATGTATTGAAGAATCTACCAAATTCTTTTTTCTGTCATGTTGAAAAATACCTTGTTACACATGAAGAACAAAGATAAACTAAATGCATCAAAATTTACAGTAAACATTACAAATATGTGCAGACCTGTACATACACACACACACACACACACACATATATAAACTTAAACTTATTTCTAAGAACTTAATGCATTTATTTACCTTTTCAAAAACATGTTAAATACTAAACTGAAATGTAATTAAATTTTTCTTTAACCCTTTGCTTGAAAAAGTTCAAGTAATAGATTAGATATCATCCTTCATAGCATATATGTGGTCAACCTTTAAGATCATAACTCTAAGTCAGTAATAGTACAGTCTCAGTTAATAGTATGTCATTAACTTTTTTTTTTGGTGGCATTTATAATAATGTAATGATATTCAACAAAATACCCAGGAAGTTCATGGTACACTTATCCAATTATACCATATTATTATCAACAAATATCAATAACCTTGGCATCAAAACACAGTTACTTAATAAATCAAATTTTAATACAAGGTTTCATTTCTAAGTTTCAAAATTGTCCATTTTCAATTTCCTCACAACCACTATATGAGTTTAATATAAATTACATATTTACAGTATAAATATTAATAAGGCATAGTTTAATTTTTTAACATCCAATCTTCTTGATTTATGGAGATACAAATCAGAAAGTCAAACCCACTTGCCATGCCCTCCCATTACATTCTTTCAGAAAATGTCAACAATTCTCCCCAACACTTGCTCTTGGGTAATTTGTAAGCAATAGAAAAAGAAAATTTTAATCTAATGATTTCTGTATAAGGCTAACTCATTCTGACTATAGTGTTTGAATTATTCAGCCTATAGATTCATTTTTGCTATCATTGAGTTCACACCAACAAGATAGTGAATTATTTTATCTAACTTATAGCTTAGTTAGAAAGTCAAATAAACTATAATAGTTATAGGACATTGTGATCTAGCTTAAATATTTGAACTAAAATTTATGTTATGTACTACTACTACCATTACAAAACATTAGAGTGAAGTTTCATTGAGGCAGAGAGCAAAAAAATAAGAGGCCAGACAAAAGTACAAAATTTCTTGTAAAAGTAACTAAAATGTAAAAATTTGAAAGTAATTAGGTTATATAAAAAACCAAATTAAAAAAAAGGTTAAAAAATTTCAGTGAGGTCTGCACACGAGCTATGCTTGTGAAATATGCAATTCATTTTCATAACTTGAGCTATGCACTCATAGGGGGATTTAGCTTTTTTATGCATGTTCAACATGATTCAAATAATAAAACAAAATTAAATGAAAGCATTTGTAAAAACAACAGAAGACTGGAGATCTTAGGATACGTAAGTGTAGTCCTTTACAATCTACAGACAATCTAAAAGAAAAAATGAGAATTTATTTCTTTTTCTTTTGTGGTGATTACAAGATCAGTCATTTCTACTGAGCCCTTATAGCATTAGGGTAGAGAAGATAACAGACAAAATATAAAGTTATACTGAAAAAAACTTTAGTATTCATTCAGAATTTTCTAAAGGTTATGCAAGAGAAATTTGAAACTATAAGATTAAAAAAGTATTTTTTATTCTTAACATGAAAAGCACCTTTCACTCAAACTAGTCAGAGTGAGTAAAACTAATTAAATTAAATTCAGAGACAAATCTTTCACAGGAATACTTTATTCAAAAATCTGATTTTTTTTTGTGTAGAACATATTTTTAATGTTCACTTAAAGTTTACCAAATTTCATGAACATGTACTTAGTAATTTTGGAATGACATCAAATATTAATTTTCCAATACAGGCTCAATCCAATGAACCAACCCTATGTAAATAGTTAAAAATGTTCACTTGGAAGACTAGCCAGGCTACAGTGCCTATCTTTATATTAATAAGGTAATTTGATCAATAGCAGAGGTATTAACAGTATCTATGGGTTTCCTGTAAACTCCTGTGGTATATGAATTTTGTGTCATGATAAGAATCACATCTGAAATTTAGTTTGTCTTCCTTTTCAACTGTGAATTGTATTGATGGATGATGTTCAGTCAGGTGGTTCATGAAGTTTGGAATATTGTCTGTAGTGTGTGGCCATGTTACTTAAATATAATACTAGCAATGAGGACTAATAGCTAGTTAATTAAAATTAGGCTACTAACCATGACTATGACTAATATCCAATCACCACAACCTCCCCTAAGTATGAAATCTTCATATTTTAAGTGTAATAATACTATACAAAAACACAAAACAACTACGCAAAGACACTGTAAAGGACACAATGTTTTCAAGTGTAAGCCAAGCTGTTACTTATTTGAACAAACCTGTATTTTTTTTAATCTTGAAAAAACCTAATTTCACACTTAAATATATTTTTATCCATTTTCTAACTTACTTAAATGCAAAATGTAAAAGTATAATTGTTTTACAATGTGAACATAAATAACTCTAGAATAAAAAGGATTAAAATAAATAAAACCTCCCATTTTGTCCATGACTTACAGGATTTATCTTTTAACCAACTGGTACAAAAAAAATGAGGGTAGCTATGTGTCATACAAGGTCAACAGTGTATATATAATGGCATACAAATTACTCAAAAAAATTTAACATTTGTAAAACAAAGGTTCAGTTGTTGTTTAATTCATAACATAGCAATAAAGAAGTGATGACTAAATAATTTTAAATGTGTACTATAGTTTGTCAGAAGATATTTTATACAAATAACAAAACATTTCATCATTGTTCCTGTATTCTAGTTATGGAAAACATTTCTACCAGTGTTTTCTAAATGTATGAAAAGTAGTTAATTTACTCATGGAAAATACAATCAGGTAAAAAACAAAAGACCTGGTCTCCTGCTCCTATTTCTTCCTCTTTTTTATTCACATGGACACCTCTAGCAATTTCAGGACTTTGTTGTTCTACTGCCACCAACACATTACAAGTTTTGAAGTCAAATCCTAAATATTTCAGATGGGAAAAAAATATATGAAAAACTAACAACCAATTTTTTCAATTTATGTCAATTAATTTCAACTAATAGTGAATTATGACAGGAAGGGTGTTTTGTCTTTACTGTTTCAAGTCATTTGCTATATCAATTGTAATAATAAACCTTGTTTTTATTTAAAATGTACAAATTGATTAAATCTTTCAAAATAGTCTCCTACATAGTTTATTGTTAAACTTCAAATTTTACCTTAAAATAATATATAGTTTATATACAGCTCTTTCATTATGTTACAAATATCTCAAACTTTTTCAGCTGTTCTTCCAGCTGAAATAAAATTGCATAGTAAATTAATGAATTATAATGAAAAATAAACATTTTTTTAATACAAAGAGAACAATAATGACAAATATTTTAAACACACTCTATAAAATGTAATAACAATACTACTATCAATTTTAAACTTAAAAGTACTTAATGTTTTTTTTTATTCACGAAACAAAATAAAGGTTGGTCATCAGTAAAAAGCAAACACTTTCTATCAGTGACTGAACATTTTTACATATGCTCAGTCATACTGACCTGCATATAGAAAAATAGGACTAAACAATGACCACTTATTTTCCCTTAGTAATTTACTCTTAATTTCTAACATTTAAATAATGAGCTTCAATAAAAATAATAAAACTAAATTTCCATAGCAGATTATGCATAGATCACAATCAATAAAGAGCAAGTGGCAAATTTACCCTATTATCAAAGTTTTACTACATGTGTTTGTAACACTGTATATTTCATATATAAAATGTCTTACAAGGATGTATATTTCTAAATGCAGTGCCATTCACTTATTGAAAGCCTCATTAAAGAACCATTTTAAAGAAACAACAAAATTATTTACACCTTGAAAAGTAAAGTGCAAGAGTTGATGCAAAAGGTGCAATGGTATAAACATGTAAGCAGCTAAATTTTGTTATTTGTACATTTATTAGTTCTCTTATATGTTCAACAATAAGCCTGTAGTGCTTTGCATGGTAAACAGTAATCAGCTCACTTGGTCTTTAATGGATACTATTTGCTTTGTATCACCCATCATCTTGGAATAGCATCACTTCATTACAACTAGAATAGAAGACAGTTGGAAAAGGCAACAGCATCAATTCAAAATAAAGATCAAAAGTTTGTTGCAGCACCTGCAATCACTAGCAGTACTAAAGCCAGCAAAAAACCAGAAGTAAATACCAGTGAGAAAGAATAATCAAATAAAGACAGTGACTCAAGATTAATGCTAGAAAGAGAGAGAGAGAGATGGAATCCACAATTCAGTGACTGTTAGTAGATTAAATGATTAATTTCTGTTAAGACTGTTTAGAAATAACAAAAAAATTCAATACAAAAAAAACAAAAAACTTAGCATTTTAGCAAAAAAATAAAAATCCTCCAATCAAAGATTAAGCCTATGGATGTTAATTTTGTTTAAAAGAAAAATTCTCAGTATAGACTAACAGTATTAAATAATTATTTAACATTACAGTACTAGCAATATTTTTGTTTAAACTAAAATATTGAAACTTGAAAACAGAAACTTACAATTTTCTAAAAAATTAACAAGTGTACAGAAGGTTTTATAGCATATGCATTTCATGTTTATTGCAGTATTAACATATAACAAACGTGTACAATCAACAAAAACTATTACATTCTTGAGTGCAAAAAAATTTAATATATCAAAAACATATTGATACAGCCATATACTTTACACTTCATGCAAATTTTAATTGACCAATACTGAGAAAATATTTTTGCAGAGCATATTTCCCACTTCTGTTTCAATTTTAAATTGCATCACTCCCTCAGTATGACTCCCCTATCATACTGTTAGCTCATGTGTCAAAACACTTGTTTATATGTTAATGATTATTATTAGTGAAGATGAATTTTAAAAGATTAGTAACAAAATCATAACAGAAAAATATTCTAATATACTAACCCTCAAAAAAGGCATACCTCCCTTATAGGAATTCAGTAGTAGCTAGCAGACACAGAGATGACACATTTTTAATGGTCTGCAGTAATTCAACTGAGAAAACAAAAATACTAAATCACCCTATAGTATATACCATAGTATACGAATATATCTTTATTCAATTATACAACTTTTCACAATATTTTCCAGATTTCAGTTTACTGTACTAATCCTGCCTACAGAACACTCGCAAATAGTCAAAGATTTGGTCAACAACATGTATATCATCACACATGGTTTACTTGCCAGATAATCTTTCAAGCAAGTGTTAATGGATAGCTGGTATGTTGATCATGCATTGTGACTGAAATATTAGAAACCTCAGCATTCAAGTTTTTGTTACTAAGACTTATCTTAAGACATGGGTGACTTGGCATCATGAAAAAAAAAAGGTTCCAGGTAGCAATGTTTTCCACAGCAATAACAGGATACACTTAACTTAGAAAATAGCAAAAAATAAAAACAACTTGACAGAAGATCAACTGATTCAGAAGAAATAAATTCAGAATAAATGTTTATATTATAGAAAGAAGAAACTTATGTTACATTCCTATATTACATATATACCAGTTTCTTAGGATAGTAGCCTCTTTCTTTTTTTTGATCAAGTTTTATTTAATTGAACAATTTTAACGAACCCAGTAGAATTTCCTATTATATTGGTCTTATGTTTTAAATGTCAGGTTCATCTCTAACTGGAAATAAAACAATTAGAGAAGTAACTTTCTATTTAAACATTTTTTTTTGTTCTGGAGATTTAAGCTGTTCATAATAGTCTGGCTGGCTGGCTGTTGGAATAACTTTGTAATCTTATTTGCATCAAATAAGATAAAGTACATGCATTAAAGCACCATTCAATATCATAATGATGCAGGAGGTTTTACTTCCTGTTTACAACTCAGAAGAAAAAGCTGGTTCAATGAAGGTATAGTGTGAACAATGTGATGAATGAAAATATATTATCATTTCATTACTACTGTTAACACTTTCACTATCGTCCCGGCTGAATCAGCCAAGTTTGTAACCCAAACTGACCTTTATAGTTTCAATAGTATAACTTCTAATAGATTTTGTGCATCTTTTAGTAAGCATTAAGTCTTTTGTACACAAAACATCAGAATCTTTAGTGAAGCACTTTCGTTAAACATTTCTCCATGAATACATGGAGTCAAAGTGTTGACTGCTCCGAGTGCAAAGTGATTTTCATATTTCATTTGCATAATCTCTAAAACCTTCTAAATAAATTTCAAATGTTCTTTTCAGTAAAACTTTATATTCTGTTATTTTCTCTACTCGCTTTATTCGAGGTTGGTCAAATTGGTTATTTGCAAGTTTTTATTTTTTATTTATTTTACATAATCAGCCTTATCTAACCTAAAAAGTTTCTAATATTTACATTTTAGCTCCTTTTATAATGATAAATTAAAATATACAAGAAAAACAAGAAATATAATACTTACCTGGGTCATCATCTTTTTTCTTTTTGATGTCAGCTGTCAATGAAACTTAAACCTACTTCTTTACACTACTAGTATACTACATTAAATAATGTTTCTTTTAACAATGTAAATAAAAAATTGGGAATTAAAAACCTGCAAATAGATCATAAAGTATGCAAACAAAGCTGGAGATACTGTAGACATTATTTACTCAAACTACAAACCCCTATTTTGGCTCCATGCTGTTACCTAAAGTTATTTTTATATATATAATTTTATTGGATCCCAACCTGATGCCATAGAGTGATGCATTCCAAACTACTGGAATCACGACAAGAAAATAAGCAACTGAAGCAGACAAACCTTCTCCACCTGAAGAAGCCTGAAAGTCAACACCCCAGGCTCAGAATGATGGGATCATGTATGCCTTACTCAACCAAAGGAATAGAACTCATCTGGTCTGGAATTATGAACATTCATCCTCACTCCTCGACCAAGTGGGCAAGGAGCCTTCCACTTGCTCCCGGTATTATGGGGAGGACATGAAACAACTGTGCTCAACCAAGGACCCAGGATGGGACCACTCCGCATTCGGAATTAGGAGGAGATGGTGGACCCCCCTTCCATGAACAATGTACTGAACTAATATTGATCAAAAAGAAGGGCCATGTACACCCCAACTGGATAGCCATGCATCAAATCTGAACCAGTATTATGAGTAGACTTCCACATAGGTTGGTGCCACTCCTTCCGTCATTTGGGAAAAAACATCCAGGGACCAAGGTAAGAGGGCCCCCAACTTCTCTTTCTTCTCTGAGAGTGGAAAAATTCACTCTAACACTCTGAAGGAAAAGCCTCTGTCCACCATCCCAGTGACTAGAAACTGGGTGTGGTAGGGACTCTCTAGGTCCACTAGTAGAAGTTGGGGGGGGGGGGGTAATGTGAATTGAGGAGCCCTGAGGAACAGTGCAGTAGGTAAACAAAAAAGTTTCCCAAAATTTTAAAAGTAAACCAACCCCCAATTTATTCAATCCAATGATCAGCAGGGATGGGCAGGATCCCCTTTAGCTTTACTCATGATAGTCCACGAGTGGTGGTCCAGCATAGTATGATAATACCACCTGGTGAGCTCCTAGGTGGTCATGGAACACATCACATCTACAGATCCTGTTGCAACCGGTAGCAAGTATAGTGAAATAGTAGCTTCTAGTGCACAATTGGATCAATAAAAACACACCTGCCTGGGCAATACTTGCTACAGAGTGGGATCCAGTGAAAAAAAAAAGGTCAGGGACTCTGGAAAGTAAAGAAACAAGAGGAGTAAGAAAATATTCACCCCTTCTTATAATCTAGCAGATGTGGTCAAAATGACCACAGAAGTAAGCAAAAACCCTCAGAAGAAGACACTGCCAGATTGTGTAAATAATGGGAGAGAAAAGTAATGGGAGAAGTCCACATATCAGCCCACATGATGTCCTCCAGCAGACAATTCAATTGGGCAGCTAAAGACATAGAAATGTGACAAATCGGATGGGGCACGACTCACAGAAATTTCCTCGCTTGTAAAGTTGTCCAGAATAAGCGGTATGGATCAACTTGTGAATCCACCTCATCAAGTTAATAGGGGATAAATCGCGAGAAACTGAAGGATCCCATTGAATAAAAAGTTGATTTTTAGCACCTCAAAAAGGAGTTAGTGCGAGCCACATAACACCTCAGGGCCCTAGCGGGACATAAACAATAGAGTCAAGCAGTTGTAGAGGTAAAAAAAATAGCTGACAAATGAATCTTAGGAAGGAAGGACCTTTCTGAGTATAGCAGGACATAAGCAGAGTTATAAAAAGTCCTGTACACATGCAGTACAAACAACTACAACCTACAATGTCCACAGACCAGCAGTAACAAGGTGAAAGATGATACATAGTACATGAGACTAAAGACTCAAACGGATGTTGAGACAAAGCATGTAATACCATCTTAATATCCCAATTTGGTAATTGAAAAGGCCTTTTGGGACAATGGAAACAAAAACAATTTGAAAAGTGCTTCACTATAACTGCTACTAAAAAATTTGGTTTAACTCTCCTCGACAATCGAGGACAAGAAAAAAAAAAGATTGCGTAAGTACTTGATTTTTTATTTTTCATATTTATTATTATTATAAAAGTAACTAAAATTAAAAGTATGGATCTTTTTAAGTTATTTAAGACTAGATTAGGTAAAAATAAGTAATAATAATGATAATATAATTAAAATTGGTCACAAGACACACATGCAAGCAGCTCATGGGTAATGTAATTCGATAGTAACGTGAGCTGTATGTTCCCCGAGTGATTTACAACTTATAATGGCGTGGATTGTAGTTAGAAATGGTTCAAAGGGCAATAAAACAATAAAATTTAATTATAAA